AGATCAGTTTTTCTGTTTTTTTAATTAAATTTTGTTTCATTTTTTTTATATATATATATATATATATATATATATATATATATATATATGTGATATGATATTCAATTCACAGTGATTTTTGTTGGGTGGTAGTCCGCAGCGGTCTGTATTAATCCAAACGTGTCCTCTGAGGTTTGCAGCCAAGTTAAGGAACACACTCTCCGTTCCCTCAGTCTTGGACCCAACATCTGACACAGAGCAGATTTAGCTCTCAACCTGGCAAATCCGACAGCCTCTCTTAGATAAGGAATTGGTGTCTGAGCACAATAAGAGCAGCAGAATACAATCTTCCTGCATCTCCAATTCCACCTTCCTGTTCCCATTACCCTCCCTCAGCTCCTCTGTCTCCTTTTCTGTCCTCCTCCCAGCCTAGTGTCGCTCTCTCAACTGTGTATCGTCTGTTACCCATTTCCAAGCCTTGGGTTTTGAGAAAATTTAGCAAAAACAGACAATACGCCTCAAACGGATGTTTAATTTGATGAAGAGGAAGATGGAAGAAGAGGCCAGTCTTCTGTTCATTTCTTTTTGGCACCAGCTGTCTGATTTGTTAGCTTCCTGTCGTGCAGGCGTCTCCCTCCGATCTTGACATATTGATTGGTGCTCGTCTTTCTCTGCTAAAATGGCTGTAATTGCAGTTATTAATCCCACATTTAATTAACCCATTCAAGGCCTTTGTCTCTAACCGTCTTGTTAAATCCATCAATCTGCTTTATTGAATTAGCAGCTTTTAAGATAAAGGAGAGGGAAACGCAGCCAAACTGCTCGTGGCCATTTGTAACAGAGACTCTTAACTTTCGTTATTTTATTTTATTCCATATTTTTTTGGCCCGTACTGTTTGGTCAGTCGGGATTTTACCTTAAGTTGCAGAATTGTGTTTTTTTCTGTCCTGCAGACAAGGCCTGGGCTTGATTGTCATGATTTTAATTGGATTTAAATGAAGTTAACTTTGTTTAGTTTGCTGACTCTGCTGATTTAGTGGAGCCTGTCTGGAGTGAGGATGTCCTAATATTCTGCCACAGAGCGGCTCTTAATTACTGTGTCTGCATGATTGATCAGCCCCATTTGTACCTGAATGGGAGGGTTCCAGAGGAGGATGAGACTGAGTCAGAGCTGCGTGGGACTTGACCATATCTATAATGAAGTAAAACAGTGCAAAAATTAAAAACGTGGGACTTGACCATATCTATAATGAACTAAAACAGTGCAAAAATTAAAAACGACCTAACTTTGTGTTACTTCGAGGTTGGTTTTTAGACTTTATTTTACTGACGATACAACTGTTTTGCTCAGGGTAAATTGTGTCAGATTATAGGGCGATAAAATTGATTTGTAATGTTTGTGTCAGTAAAAAAACAAAACAAACAGCAACTGGCATTGCAGTGTGATTATCTTTTGGGAAAAATAATAACAGAGTAGTCTTTTTTTCCGGAGAACGCAGAGGGACCGTACAAGTTTAATCGTCTTCGCCAGAGGCCTCCGTCGTACCTGTGTCTGTTTGCCTTTAAAAATTTATGGTCCACAGTGCAGTAGAGGAGAGCAGTTCTGTATTAAATGTCCTATTGATGTTGCAGTCAAATAATCTGAATGACTTTGTCTAGTTGATAACAAAATATAAAAAACAGCAGATCTTGCTTCACTGTAACGTGGTCACGTCGATTAGTAGGCTTTAAAGAGACACGTGTCACATGTTCCAAAACAAAATTTAATTTTAAGAGCAATGAATCATCTTGTATTTCCTGAATCAGAACTTGTCACATAGTTTGAGTTAGAAAAATCAATCTTTCTTTGCCACTTACCTACTTTTGAAGGCTCTTTGAGTTCCTGTCATTTCCCCCCCCATTGTCAGGGCCGGAGTATTGTCCTCTCTGAGGATTTTTATTGTCCTAGAAAAAGAAGAGGAGGGGGCAGAGGTCACGGCTCTCAAAGCCAGAGGAGAGATATTTGGCAGAAGTCTGAAAGTAGAGGTAGTCCGATTTTATCTTATCTGCGCGGGGCACGCGGGGATACGAGGCTGCAGCACGGCCGCACACAGCACATATACGCGGGGATACGAGGCTGCAGCACGGCTGCACACAGCACATATTCACAGCACATATCACAGACGAGGTCTCAAATTCCATCACAAAGAAATGTATGCGCGCAGACACACGCGGCCAAGGTCACAGTCTCTTCGTAGGTGCAGTGGTGGAGCCGAGGATCTGTCCTTACTCACTCTCCTCGTCTGTAGTCCTTGGGCTTAAAACATACTTAAATTATTAATGTGGAGCAATAGTTGAGACTTGTCCCCTTTAATCTGAAATGTTTTATAGCCCACATCAATAAGTTCAACCCTGGCAACCTGGAAACTTTTTGGCTAAACTATACTATATACAGTCTTCTTTTTGTAACGTGCTGTTTTTAAATTATAAAAAGTTCCTTTAAGTATTCACTGTCTTCCTCAACATTTAGATTCAGATAAAATTCGACTTCTTTTCTGTTCTCCCACTAGTGATAACAGAATATATATATATATTTAGCCATAAGCAAACTGCAGCTCACCTCGTCACACTCGTTTAAATCCCTTCCGTCGTCTAACATAAGCCAACGACAAATCTGCAGAACAAAGAGCTACAGAAATTGAGGAGATAATTTTGAACCCCTCACAGCTCAGTGT